CAGAATGACCATAGTTAAACAGAATGATCATAGCAGCTGTTGGCGAGCATGTGAAGAAAATGAAATTCTCATACACTGCTGGTGGAAATGTAAAATGGTACAACCACTTTGGAAAATAGTTTCTTAAAAACTTAAACATACACCTACCGTATGATCCAGCCATTCCACTTCCAGGTGTTTATCAAGAGAAATAGAAGTATCTTTCCATAAAAAGACTTGTACATAAATATTCATAATAGCTTTATTTGTAATAGTCAAAAATTGGACCAACTCAAACAGTCATCAATGTTGAAAAGCAGTGGTATATCCATATAATAGAATACTATTCAGCAATAAAAAGAAATGAATTATTGGTACATATCACAACATGGATGACTCTTAAAATAATCATCTGAGTAAAAGAAGCCAGTTAGAAAAGAGTAGATACTGTATGATTCCGTTTATATAAAATTCTAGAAAATGCAAACTAACCTATAGCAACAGAAAGCAGACTGATGTTTACATGTGTATAAGGAAGGGCAAGGAGGATGGGAAGGAAGAATTACAAAGAGACATGATGAAACTGCTTGAGGTGATGATGGTTTTGTGATATAGGTATATATATGTGTATATATACATATACAAGCTATTTATGTCAATTATACCTCAAAATGTTGTTAAAAGTAAATGATACAGGCAGCGGACTGAGTGGAAGCTACACTGACACTCTCCCAGGACCAAACTGGAATTACAACTAAAATATAGAAAAACCACCCTGAATAATCAACTGCCACTGAAGATGAGCTGGAGAGCATCCTCATAACCAAGGACCTAAAGTGGAGGCCACATAGAGACTGGTAGGAAGTGCGGAAGCACAAGAGGGCTGGGGCAACAGCTGAAGGTCCAGAGGGATATCTCAGCTGTGGGGGGTTCCACTGAGGACTCCCCCTGGCTGGGCTTTCCAGCCAAGAGCACCAGAACTGAGAAAAGTGCCCATATAACATTTAGCTGTGAAAAGCAGCAGGATTTCTGTTGGCGAGGGAGAGATGGCTGGAAATGCAGGTACCCTCTTAAAGAGCCAACGCACAAAGTTTTGTGTGTAGCCACTCACCTTGGGCTCCAGCTGAGGGTGGGCAGAGTGGACTGCAGCTGTGTGAGGAGAATCTAGGATTGTGGGCTCTGCAGATAGAGATCAGAAGGCACCCCTCTGGATTCCTGTGCTGAGTTATTCCCCCAAATGGCAGAGGACATCTTTCCCAGGCAGACATTTACCTCCCAAACAGCTTTTGCCGGGGCGGGGAGCAAATGCCTCATCCTCCTGGAAAACCTCTTGCCCTGCCCAGAGTAGTTTCTATAGCCTGAGGCTCATTAAGAGAATCAGGTTAATCAGCCTGCAGCCAAAGGCAGGCCTCAGAGTGCTTAATCTTTGCCTGATCTGTTTCTGGACCTGGGTCTTGGAAAAGCAGACTTTGGTGTACATCCTGGTCCAACTGCACCCAGTCCCAGCAGAGGAGACCAAGCCAAGGGTTGTTAATAGCTCCAAACAGGGTACTTAGGGCCAGTCACAAGCTGCATCTGATACTGGCCTGTATCAGAGGCCCTCCAAAAAGACTGAGAGTCCTAGCAGATCTACCTACTACATAGAAACAAGCCCAAACAGGCAGCCAAAATGGGGAGACAAAAAAACAAGCCCCAAATGAATGAACAAGAAAAGTCTCCAGAAAAAGAGCTAAATGAAATGGAGATAAGCAATCTATCAGATACAGAGTTCAGAATACTGATTGTAAAGATGCTCAACAGCATGAAAAAAGATATGGAAACTATGAAGGAAATTAAGAATGACATAGCAGAAATAAATAATAGACTGGAAGGAATAAACAGCAGATGAGAGGAAGCTGAGGATTTGATTAGCAAATTAGAAGACAGGGTAGAAAAAATAACTCAATCAGAGATCCGAAAAGAAAAAAACAATTAAAAAACAGGAGGACAGTCTAAGGAAGCTATGGGACAAAATGAAACATAACAATATTCACATCGTAGGAGTACCAAAAGAGGTCGAAAGTAAGCAAAGTTTAGAGAACCTTTTTGAAGAAATAATGGCAGAAAACTTCCCTAACCTGGTCAAAGAAAAAGTCACAAAAGTTCAGGAGGTACAGAGTCCCAAGCAAGAAGAATCCAAAGAGGTCCATACCCAGACACATCATAATTAAAATGCCAAAATTTCAAGACAAAGAGAGAATATTAAAGGCAGCAAGAGAAAAGCAATCTGTTATCTACAAAGGAGCTTCCATAAGGTTGTCAGCTGACTTCTCATCAGAAACTCTACAGGCCAGAAGGGAATGGCATGAAGTATTCAAGGTAATGCGAAACAAGGATCTGAAGCCAAGACTACTCTATCCAGCAAGGCTATCATTCAAAATAGATAGAGCTTCCCAAACAAAAAATGGGAAATAAAGAGCTTCCCAAACAAAAAATGGCTAAAAGAGTTTATCACCACCAAACAAGCATTGCAGAAAATTAACATAAAGGAACTGCTGTAATTAGAAGCAGAAATAGAAGCACTGCAAGAAATGTTAAAGGGACTGCTGTAATAAGAAGAAATAGACAGAGAAACATAGGCATAAAGAGTTAAAATGGCAATAAATAAGGAACTATCAATAATAACCTTAAGGACTTTAAGGGAGAGATGAACAGCAATACAGTCATAGTCATGGACTTTATCACCCCGCTGACTTCACTGGATAGATCTTCCAGACAAAAAGTCAACACAGAAAAAGTGACTCTAAATAGCACACTAGATTAGATGGATTTAATTGATATTTACAGAACATTTTACCCAAAGCTGCAGAATATACATTCCTCTCAAGTGCACATGGGTCATGCTCAAAGATAGAACACATGTTGGGACACAAAACAAGTCTCTACAAATTCAAGAAGACTGAAATCATATCAAGCATCTCAGATCACAATGGAATGAAATTAGAAATCAACTACAGTAGAAACACTCAAAAACATTCAAACACATGGAGGCTAAACAGCATGTTATTAAACAATTATTGGGTTACCAAAAGGATCAAGAAAGAAATCAAAAACTTCCTGGAAACAAATGAAAATGAACATACAACAACCCCAAATCTATGGGACATAGCAAAAGCAGTCCTAAGAGGGAAATTCATAGCACTATAGGCCTACCTCAAAATGCAAGACAAATTTTTAGTAAACTAACCCTACAACTTGAAGAATTAGAAAGCTCCCTTGTAAAGCCGTCCAGACCAGGGCTTTTGTTTGCTGAGAGGTTTTTTTTATTAATGCTTCGATTTAATCAGTTGTTATTAGCCTATTCAGCTTCTCTGATTCTTCCTATTAGCCTGCCATATTGGAAGGAGGGCACAAATTAAGGTGCAGTAAGTTCTGTAATAAACTGTCACAATAGGGGTCTAAGAATTTTTTTAATTGAAAAAAGGGAACGTAACCCTTACTTTACACCATATATAAAAATTAAATCAAAATGGATCATAGACCTAAATGTAACTATACAACTATTAGAAGAAAATGGAGGAGAAAAATCTATATGATTTTGGATTAAACAATGGGTTCTCACACAATTTCTTAGATAAGAAACAAAAAAGCACAAACCACACAATAAAAACATTGCCAAATTAGAGTTCATCAAAATTTTAAATTAAAAACTTCTGGTCTTCAGAGATACTTTTAATAAAATGAAGACAAAAAACAACCTGGGAAAGATATTTACTAAACACATATCTGACAGAATGGACTAAAAAAAACCACACACTCTTAAAACTCAATAATAAAATATCCAATTAAAAAATGGATTTGAACAGACACTTCACTGGAAAATGATATTTTCACAGAGGCATTCCACATCATCAGCTATTAGAGAAATGCAAATTAAAACCACAATGCAATACAAATACATTCCTACTAGAAAGGTTAATATTTTTTAAAACAGAAATATAAAGATCAGGTGAAAATGTGGAGCAACCACAACCCTCATCTACTACTGGTGGGAAGACATGATGATACAACCATCTTAGAACACAGTTTATCAGTTTCTTAACAAATTAAATATGCACTCGGCATATGACGCAGCAATTCCACTCTTAGGTATTTTACCCCAAAGCAATGGAAACATTTTCACACAAAGACCCTCATGTGAGTGTTTTTAGCAGCTTTAGTCATAATAACCAAAAAACTATAAACAACCCAAATATCCATTAACTGGTGACTGTATAAATAAACACACAATTGGAATACTACACAGCAATAAAAAGAAGTGAACTACTGACAGATGCAACTACATGGATGAATCTCAAAAGGGTTATGCTAAGAAAAAGAAGCCAAACACAAAAGGTTACACTCTACATGATTTCATTTCTAAGGCACTGTGGAAAAGGCAAGACTATAGCAAGAAAAATCATATTGGTGCTTGCCAGAGCTGGTGGTGGGAGGAGGAACTGACTGCAAAGAAACATGAGGAGCCTTTTTGAGATGACAAAAGTGTTCTGTATCTCAGATGTGATGGTGGCACATAACTACACATTTATCAAAACTCAATAACTTTACATTTTAAAAGAATGATTTTTTAACTTTTGTTAATCCTCACTCAAGGATATTTTTTCCATTAATTTTATTTTTAGAGAGAGTGGAAGGGAGGGAGGGGAGAGGGAGAAAAGAAGAGGGAAGGAGAGAGGAAGAGAGAAAGAAAGAGAGAGGGAGAGAGAGAGGAAAACACTGATGAGAGAGGCACATCGATTGATTGCCTCCTGCACTCGCCCAACCAGAGCCAGGGATTGAACCTGCAACCCAGGTACTTGCCCTTGATCAGGAATCAAACCCATATGTGGGCCGATGCTCTAACCACTGAGTAGTAGTACAGGCCAGGGAAAAAAGAGTGAATTTTATTAAATAAAAATTATACCTCAGTAAACCTGACTTAATAATAAAGTAAACCTAAAAGAATGACTAAGTGAAAATAAATATAAGAAAAATCAACTTACAGTTTTTCCAATTTTGAGGTCATCACGAGGATGTTAACAAGTGTTGCAAGTGACACCTGTGTTGCTCCCATGTCTCTGGAGGAGAAAGACCAAACATGCATGATGTGAACCCAAAGGCAAAACTTCTGTACTTAGAGAGACACTTAGCATCTGGTTACTTCAGCTCTGGCTTCTCTGTGAAGCCAACTTAAGAGTTTACTTGCCATAGATGATCATTTCAGAGAGCTCTTTTTGAAGAAATTTAAATTTATTGGCATCATCAAATTAATGACTTTACGAACAGTACAATCTGTGTTTGTCATTTTTATCATTATCCTACTTGTCATTCTCAATTGCAACCACCACTTGATTACTCTTAAAAAAACACACACAATGTACAACACATTCCTTTTTTCTTTCTGTGATCAATGGTATTTCTACATGCATCTACATGTTTCATATCTGAATGTGTTCTTCAACACAGCTCCCTTCCTCTGCTGGCTGTCTTGACCTTGTGCATTCTTTCTTAATCATTTTTCTGTGCCAATAACTCTTTTTCAATCTCCCAGTTAAAATTTAAGTTAGGACTTTTTAGTCAAAATGCAGAATACTTAATCTTTGATGAAAGTAAGAAAGAGCAGAAATCATCTCATGAGCATGAGATTGTTGCAATACTTACAAATATTTTAATGCTGGCAAATTAAAAAGATATGGATCTTGAACAGCTGACAGAGGATTATTACTGAGAATTCTGAAAAATGCAATGGAATTAAAATTATCTACATTTTCAATAATTGTCATGAAAGTTTATATTCATTTTTTGGGTACAAAACTTCAAGGTTAAAAAACATCATTTTCTGTCTTTACCTATAGATCACACTTAGAATCTATAAAGCATTATTTTGGGGGGAACTACCCAGATCCCTAAATGGTAAAGTGAAGAAGAGCATGTAATAAAAAAAAGGAAAAAAACTGAGTAGCAAAGAAAAAAGAATGCCAAAGAACTTTTCAGACTGAAAACCCCATTAGCGACTACGCTGATAGGGAGCTCTTGCTCTACAAGAAATACTATTTCTGGTGTCCTCCATAATTCAACGTGCTTTTCTTTCATCTCCAGAATTTTTTTAAAAAATCCTAGTGGTTTAAAACTAATTCCTTGATTTTGGAGCCAAAAAGGGGATAAATCTAAGAGGAACTAGTGAAAGCCATGCTCCCATCACATAATCCCACTGTATTCTTGTATCACAGGCTTTGTTACATTGTATGTAATCACCTGGTTACTTGTACATTTCTTAGACTGTTAGTACCTGAGATTTACTAGATATTTAATAGATGTTTAATAAATAAATAACATTTTGATTACATATAAAAAAAGAATGAATTTGTTATTTGACACAAATTTATATTCTAAATGCTGGAATAAATTTTCTTCTCAGTTCTTTAAAACAAACGAGCAAAACAAGACAAACAAAAAACAAGAAGAAAAGAAAATCTGTCTTTAGGCTAACTCTACTCAAGAATGAGTAATGTACTTTTACAGAATATTATAAAGATGATTATCAAAGCTAATATCTATTAGGCTTCTGGGTATCTATGATGAACATTTCACATTTAACCCTCACAATAACCTTTATTGATATATATTATTATTACCCTATTTTAAAAATGAGGAAACTAAGGCACAGAGAAGTTATATAACTTGTCCTGCCATCAAGCTTGTAAAAAGCAGAGCTGGAATTTGAACTCAGTTCCGACTCTAAAGCCTATATGTAATTCTATGAAGAAAAGGGGTTTAAAATAGCTGTTACTTAAACCTTAATTTTGAGACCACTAAATAGAAATACCTTTTCAAATTACATGTACCCATCTGGAAAAGCCTCTATGAGAATTACATTTTTTCTTTTTCTTCCTGTTTCCAAATGTTATCCCATGATTAAATATTAAACTAGCTTACAGTCATTAAGACATTAAAGATTTAAAACCATGTTGTAGGCAAATCATTGAAAACGGTGGAGTAAAGACACCTGGAAATCCATCCTTAAAAAAAAGCAACAAAAACAACGCAAAAATTGTCAGGATCACCTTTTTCAACTCTGTAATTAACCAACAGGGGAGGAATACAGGGAACATTTAATCAAGAGAAATTATTGATTTCTGTAAAAACAGTGATTTGTGCTCCTTTAACTCATCCTAGAGCTTTCCTCTCCATCCCAGGGGTAACCTCGAAAAACAGCCCACAGACCCAGTACCACAGGAAACAAAATGGAACAAAATCTCATTCCCAAAGAACTGTCATTTTACCTGTCAAGTGGTTTCCTGGAAGACCTCACTTGAAAGGTTTGTCTTTGACCTGACTGAGAGCTGCCTAGCCCCCAAAGAAAGACTGTCCTCAGAGGAAATTTTATGAAAACAATTGCAGGTAAATGTTTTAACACGGCAGCTGCTGAGGCAACAGATAACAGTTGGTGCAAAAAATAGGCTAACAAAAAAAGCTTAAAAGAAAAAACTGAGCCCTGCCGCTGTCACTCAGTTATTGAACCTGGAGGTCACAGCTTGATTCCTGGTCAGGGCACATGCCTGGGTTTTGGGGGCTCGGTCCCCAATAAGGGGAATGCAGGAGGTAGCCGATCAATGACTCTCATCATTGATGTTTCTATCTCTCTCTCCCTCTCCCTTCTTCTCTCTGAAATCAATAAAAACATATTAAAAAAGAAAAAGTGGAGAAATGATATGTCCATAGAGACTCTGACGTGCTCCAACATATAACTGGGAAAATGGAAGACCATGAGACGTATTCCTGGGAATCTAGAAAAAACTATTAGCACTAATAAACGAGTTCAGTAAGGTGGCAGGACACAAGACCAATATGCAAAATTAGCTGTATTTCTTCTGTACACTAGCAATGAGTAATCAAAAAATGAAATTAAAAAAACAATTCCATCTATAACAGCATCAAAAAGAATGAAATACTTAGCAAAATATTTAATCAAAGAAGTACATGACTCATATACTAAAAACTACAAAACATTGCTTAAAGAAATTAAAAAGACGTAAATAAGTAGGAAGACATGCTGTGTTCATGGATCAGAAGATGATACTGTTAAAATGGCCCTACTCCCCAAGTTGATCTATGGTTTCAATTCAACCCCTATCAAAATCCCAACAGATTTTTCCCCAGAAATGGACAAGCTAGTTCTAAAATCATGTGGCAATTCAAGGGACCAAGAGCAGCCAAGACAATCTTGATAAAGAGGAACAATGTGGGAGGACTAACACGTCCTGGGTTCAAAACCCAATTCAAAGCCACAGCATTCACAGTGTGGTACTGGCATAAGGCTAGACATATAAATCAATGGAACAAATGGACAGTCCAGAAATAAACCCTCACATGTACTTTCCCTTGCTGTAGGGACCTAAGGAGCCTGCTCTCAGAGCATGGGCAGAGGGAAAACTGACCCTCAGTGTCCCTTCCCCAAGTGAGGCATCAGCAAATTAATGAGGGAAGAGGGGACGCCGCTACAGATGGGCATCTGCAGGAACTGTCAATCCAGCTCCAGACACCCCCTAAACGCCCCCACCTAACCCAAAATGAATTGTGTCAAACTGGATTTCTTAAACACAAGACAGCAAGACAGTCTTCTCCAAAGACAACTTTAGAGAACAATCTTCACCTTGAGTCTCAAAACCTTTTCAGGCCACTAAACATACCCACTATGATTTGCTTGTGTCACAGAGAAATCACAGAATTTTCAAGCTGAAAGGGAATAAAACCCACATTTCTTATTGAGGAATAGTCAGGAGAGAAGTTGCAATGAGGCTACAGCAATGTATTTTCTTTATATTTCTTCACACCACACCTTAACATAAACAGCATCCTCTCCCATCCCTCAAAGACTCCCACTGCCACAGATAATACACTGCAGAGGCACATAGTTTCTGAAAAACAATGTTCTGGATGATTGGTGAGAATAGTGCCCTGTGGCAGGATTGTAAGAATTCTTTCTGCTTTACCATTTAAAAGAGACTCATGGCCCTGGGCTGGCAGCTCAGTTCGTTGAGTGTCCTCCCGTGAACCAAAAGGTTGCTGGTTTGATTCCCAGTCAGGGCACATACCCAGGTTTCAGGTTCAATCCCCTGTTGGGGTACCTGCAGGAGGCAACAGATCAATATTTCACTCTAACGTATCTCTCTCTCTCTCTCTCGTTCTCTCTCCCTCTCCTTCTCTAAAACCAATAAAAACATTTTAAGTAAGTAAATAAATAAATAAATAAATAGACTCATAGCTGAGGAAGCACCCACACCTTTTGTTCCCTGGGGAAGTCTGAGCTCAACTCCATCATTTCAGTTCTATATTGCATACATTTAAGCACTTAGGACCTTTGCACATGAGCAGGAATCAAATTAAATTCAGAAGTAGAGTTTCAAGGACCACTCATATATTGGAGCAGCAGCACCACAGAGATTCCCATTACAATGCAACTTTGAATGTTATGCGCTTGGTGCCTTCTACTGCCCCTGCCAAAGGGCAGTACAGGGAAAGCAGAGCATGCCACATATGAGTCAGACAAGTCTCTTGGCCTCTTTGTACCTTAGTTTCCTCATCTGAAAAAAAAAGAAGAATGGCTCTTAAGCCATACTTTTCAGAGTATAAATTGAGCTTACACCCAGCCAACCAATCACTGTATGATGTTTTTAAACATAGCTTTTGACATATGTTCATCTTCCATTTCACTTACAACTTGTTTAAAAACTGCATTCCATGCCAGGCCTGAAACGTTCCAAAGCTCACTTTTGTCACTGAATTGCAACCAAGATTTCTACAAAAGAAGAGAAAAAAATATTCTTTCAGATCATTAATCCTTTAGCAGTGATTCTAACTTATATATAACAAAACAACCTCAATACTCTCTCAATACACTAAATAAATCTCTCTGTGGGAGATATTTGCTTATGATTTATGCTTTCATGTTTATACATGTGGTGCATTAGATACAAAACAGTAAGTGCTCAAAAAATACTTGTATTAAAAATGATCTTTGTTTCTCTAAAATAGCATTATACAACTTCAACACTACTGACATTTTGAGCTAGATCATTCTTTCTTATGGAGGGCTCTCCTGTGCCTTGTAGGATGTTAAACAATTCTGGCCTCTGCCCATTAGATGCCAGTAGCATAGCTATAATTCTGACAACTAAAAATCTCTGAATATTGTCAAGTTCCACCTGGGAGCAAAATCACCCTAGTTGAGAACCACTGCTGTAGAATGGTTCATTCTGACCTTTGAGATAATTCTTACAGTAATCTGTGCAAACTTTAGTAGTTTTCTACTAATAAAATTTCTACTAAGTAAAATTTTAATCTTAATTCAAAATAAATAACACAGAGGTTTACAATTAAGTTTTATAAAATTTCTAAACAAAATGAAGTTATATTTATAACTTACAGATATTGCAAAAAAGGTAGTGATTCAAATGCACTCCTTTCAATAAACTCTATTTTATTGCAGGATAAATCTCTAGAACAAGGAAAAACAGTGTCTCAATTAGCTCTTAGATATCGAATTAGTAGGAATAAGTGTTAGCGGTTAGAATGATAACATTGAAAACAAGCTTTAGTCTAAACTCTGAACCTCAGGAATTGTGATTTGAACCCTGAGAGCCCCTTATGCTGCCCTCCCCTCTCTTAAGAGTCTCATTTTCATATCTTTATACATAAAATAGACAACTACAGATCCTGATAGATTTTGAAGGTAATCTTTCCTGAGAACAGATGACGACCAAATGTGGTCTCATCAAATTTAGATAATGAATTCAGTTTATATGTTCATATATAATTACAAATTTCTAATATCAAAAGAAATAGTATCACATCCACACACCCTCCTGGTTTAGTTCTGTTTTTCTAAGCCAATTCAATACCAGATGAAATAAACGATGCCTTTTCACATAACTTGAAAGGAAGTTATTCCTCAAAATAATACAGAACTTGGAACTAATTCTGAATGACACTTTCTATTAATAGAAATGCATTTTTTATTTTACATTGCTTTAATACTCCATGAATTTAATTGCTTCAGTTGTACAGTTGTTGTACAGAAAACAACACATTACTGGAATTTTTTTGAAAACACCATCTTATTTCCATTGATTCCACTTTAGTCCTTCACTTTTCACCTGAATGGGTAGAGCCTGTCTTCTTACTGGTGTTTCCCCCTTGCTAATCCATCCTGCACAAAGTCGCCAGATGAACACTCCAGAAGTGGTTCTCAAATACTAGCCAGCATCATTTGGGAACTTCCTGAAGACGCACATTGTCAGTCCTACTCTGGACCGACTGAATTAGTAACTGTGGGTGCAGCTTGAGTTTGAACAAGCCCTCCAAGTGACTCTGTTGTCGGCTTAAGTTTCTCCTAGAGCACTGGGGTGATAACACGGTAGGTTGGCCGTCGAAGCCCTAGAAGGTCTTACTCTGATCTCCTGCTCTCCCTACTTGTACTCTACAGGTACTCAAGGTATGTTTCCTGTGTTTTGCCTTTCCCCACGCTCCTTCTGCAAGCTTATTCTACAAGATGACTGTGTGATGATCCCCAAGGGCCCTTCAAAGTCCTGTTCAAACAGCATTGCTGTAGCAACATCTTTGCTGATCCAACTTCAAGTCTCTTTTCCCTCTGATGTGACCAAAGCCAGTTTATCTCTCTCACTGTCCAGGTCCATTTCTTCTTTTTAATAGTTATTTTTGCATCCTATCTCCTCTGAACATAAACTGCTTCAAAGCATGGACTGGGTCTTGCTCATCTGCATTGTCTACTGACACATGAACAGGTGCAAACCCAAATATTTATAAAAGAAACAAATAGCTGGGAAGTAGAGGGAGAAAAATAACTGTTTTAAAAGAAATGCAGTTTTATTATTGCAGGGCTCCATCTTGTGCACCTCTTGTCTTCCATTTAGTACTTGTGCTCTATGGTTTGAGCTTATATGTTTATTTTCCCTGTGAGATCGTGAACTACTAGAAGGCTAGGAACCCTGATGTACCCATCTTGATGTCTACAGTACTAGGTACAGTGCTTAGCAGATGCTTTTTTAGCTTGTTTACTGATTGGCATTTTTTAATGAATGGCAATACTTACACTAGCATGAAATAATTAGTTTACAAAGTATTTCACAGTAGAAGTAATGAATGACCTAATCTATTGGGCAGTTAGTTACCTCATTTGTTTTCCTCCAAGCTGTTTGTAAGGTTTGTAAGCCAATGGTAGAGATACCCAAGAAGACCAATACAAAAGTGGTTGTCCCTCTGAAGCTTGAAAGGTTTGATAATCCAAAGAACTACTTTTAGTGTCCTGAGAGGCTCTTTATGCCTACTTCCCTTAACTCTTCAACATAAGCAAAAAGAATCTGTTTGCTGAAGACTATCAGTAATTAGCTTAATAAGGATTTATGACATGCACAGTTCTGGATACCATGGACAAAGGATCATAATTAAGTTTTTATACTAAGGAACAGCACCCTATCTCTAAATAAATAGAATTACTAGGCAAGCATTTCTTCCTTGGCAAGGAGGATGGAGAGATTTTTATTTTGTAATTAGTGAAGTTAGGGGCATTTCTGATATGTTTACTTTGTGTGGACATTTCTAACTATACCACTCAACCATCATTTGAAACATTTATTTTTGCTATAGGAATAACAATTCCTGCATTCAAATCCTTAACACCAGTCTGCTCTCTTGATAAATTAATATGTTCTTAATAATACTGTTTATATAATTAATCTGCTTAAATATTTAATGTGTAAATATTTGTTCATCTAATTTAGATTAAATTATCAAAAAATTCTGGGTTAATGGCGTTCAAATTAATATAAATGTTCTATAGTTTCTTGTCTTACAGGAGACAATTTGAGGTTAACCTGAATTCCTCTCATTTTACTAAATCAACATTTTAAATCCTTTGTCAAGGCCAGACAGCAAATATTTTTGGCTCTGAGGCTACAGACAGGCTATCTCACATATTCTTCTTTGTTTCTTTTCTTTTACAGCCCTTTAAAAGTATAAAAATCATTCTAAACTTATGTGCTGTAAGAATGAAACAAACATAGACCAGACTTGATCCATGGGCTCTACACTAAGTATAAATAATGGCAGATGGTATATGAAAACCTATATAACTAGGTTCATATGGATGTTTATTATTACTCAGACATCATTACCACTTTTTCTCTATAACTGAAGAGTTTTTCCTATCTCTATCTTTTCTATGTGATTACAAAACTGAAAATGCATAGAAGATACTAACTGCTAGAGATGGGTTCGAGCCCTACACAAACTTACAGAATTGAAGAATTTTACTCCTGAGAGAAATTGTAGAGATTATGTAATTTGAATCCCTTATTTATTTATAGATAATATAACTAAAAAGGCATAAATAAATGTGATTGACTTACAAATACTGGAGGGAAAGAAGGCCTTCAAATGAATCCTTGTGTAATTCTTTCAATTCATTTCCACTGAGATTTCTGAAAAATGAAAACGTTATTTCTGGCTCAAAATGCATAACAACGATAACTATTTACTGCACAGAAATATACATGTGGAAACCTGCCATCAAAATACCCTAATTTTTATTTTACTTAAGGATGGTGATCTCTGCTCTTTTTTTATTCAAACATTTCTTCTCACATCCTCTGTGTCCATCTCTCTCCACCACACACACACACACACACACACACACACTCTCTCTCTCTCTCTCTCTCTCTCTCTCCTGTCTATACTCCCCACCAAATCATATATTTAATGTCTACATCATAAAGTCTCTGTTAGAACCTAACTCTGGGTGTTAGCAACATTGGTAGAACTGCCATTTCCTCCTCCCTTTTCCCAAAACTTGTTATGGAAGTCCCATACAGAAATGTATCAGGTCTGCAAGTAAAGTCATTTGATTTAAAAAAAATTTTTTGAGCTAAAATGTGCATAAACAACACATAAGAGAAATACAAATACCCATATAAGACCATTCATGTCAAGAAAGAACACTGCCAGTATCCCAGAAGCCCACAGGATGCCTCTTTCCCATCATAACCCTTTCCGACTCCCCTTTAAGGATGTTAGCAACAACTTTGGTATGTGATGTTACTTTTTCAACTGTAAATTCATAAAATCTAAATATAGATCAAGTTTCTCTGATAAAACATTTAGCAACCAAATTGAGATTTCAAACACTTAGTATGGAAAAAAGAATGTAAACTCTCTCATTAACAATTTTTCTGTTGATTCCATACATAAATGACAATACTTTGGATATTCTGAAGACTAAATGTGAAAAAATGTAGACTATCTTATTAATAACCTATATAATTATTACATGGTGAAATGATAATATTTTGGATAAGAGTAAAATAAAACATATTAACAATTATTTCAGTGTTTCTTTTTACTTTTCAAGTGGCTACCGACAATTTAAGATTACCCATGTGGCTTGCATTATGTATCTGATGAATAGTATTCCTTTGGATGATTATCCCACACATTATTTATTCATTCTACCATTCCTGGATACTAAGAACTTTCTAGTTTTTAGTTACAACAGTGCTGCTTTGAACATTCTTGTATCTTGATACACATTGGTCTGTTTTCTCTAGGATATAATAGGGGGACAAAATTGTTTTCCTAAGATATTATGCTATTTCCAGTTGGCAGATTGAAACATGCCAAGTCTCTACCCCTCCAACTTCCACCAAAATCCCTAAGAATAATGGAAAAGATATCATTTAAAAATCACATAAATACTGGTTCAATGAATTCAGAAAGCAACAGGCATCATTTTCAGTATACTGCTTTTATTTATTATTTATTTATTTATTTATTTATTTAATATATCTTTATTGATTTCAGAGAGAGGAAGGGAGAGGGAAGGAGAGAAACATCGATGAGAGTCATTGATCAGCTGCCTCCTGCCACTCCCCACTGGGGATTGAGCCTGCAACCTGTGCATGTGCCCTGACCGGGAATCAAACCCTGATCGCCTAGATCCTAGGTCAACGCTCAACCGCTGAGCCATGCCCGGCCGGGCTACTGCTTTTATTTAAAACAAATCACCCATTTACTATCACTCATGAGGGTAAGTACAGCTTTACAGTAAAAGAAATGTCTTTCTTCTCCCCTACATTTGTGACTCTTAATCTTTGGAGACAAGAGCCCTGTGAAAATTTTGTAAAAGCTATGGAGCCTTTCCCTAGAAAACTGCACTTTTTAAAAAAAATATATATCTTTATTGATTTCAGAGAGAGGAAAGGAGAGGGGGAGAGAGAGAGAGAAATATCAGTGATGAGAGAGTCACTGACCGAGCCCGCAATGCGGGCATTGCACTTTCTGGAATACATGCAAAAGTGTGCATGTAATTTCCATTTGTGGATTCTCCCTTTACGGCAGAGATTGGTGAATAGGACTGAGTGGACTGAATTCAGGGCGCCAAACCTGAATGGGTAATAAAATTACATCTCTATTGTCACAAACCTCTAACTAAAGTTTGCATTGCCTTGCATTGTGAACATAGCCAACAAACCACAGTAGATTAGCAGTGTAGTAGTTAATTGGGTCTCCAATAGAAATCACAGCTATTTCCTACCACGTTTGTTGCAGATATCTCAAAATATCATTTATTCATTCTCATCACACCTTGAAGTTATCAACAGTTATTAGACCCACCACTCTAGTTTGTTATTTAATATGTTAAGAGAAGCAGATTTATTACTATATCCATAATCTTTTTAAAAAAATTTTTTGAAATTGCATTTCAGTAATAGGTTTCCTTTATTTTCCTCAATAATAGGTTTCCCTTATTTTCCTATATATTTTACCTCATAAATCACTTAAAAACATTGTCCTTAAGAACACAGACTTCTGCAGATCACCAAAGAGACATACAGAAAAAAAAGGTTAGGAAATCCTGCCCTGGGGGGTCCATTGAGCCTAAGTTAGGAACCTCTCCCTTACAAGGTATAAATCTCAAGCTGACTTAGAAATTCAAACCTTATGAGATTCATTTTATTGTGTATAAATTCCCAAACACAAGCTTTCTCAAAATTAATGCTTAAAGTTCAATTTATTTAAAAAATATGTAATGCAGATTCTCATGGCTCAAAATTCCAAAGGTATATAGTACACAATCCAAAGAATTTTCTCCTACACCATCTTTCAGATACCCCACTCCCTCTACTGCTTAAAGGAAACTAACGTTATTTATTTCTTGTGCCAAATGACTTTCATTTTTCTTACCAGATACTATCATGGAAAATATAAACTATATATAGTTCAAAAAATTCATAAATTAAAAAACAACTGTCTGGTTCTAGGATTGTTTCCCCTTACCAATAAGATATAGACTAAGGAAAGAATCTTGTAGGATGGTTATAAACTCTATTTTGAGATTACTATGACTATTATATCTTTCATTATAAATTCAGAAGTCATTTATGACATACTCAAGTTGAACTAATAATATGACGACAAACCTTCTTGGAAAAAGCCAGTTAATTACTTGGAATGTAAATATGTTTCCTCAAATCCCTTATGTGCCTAAATTGACTTTTCTATTAAAAAAAAAAGATAAAGAAAAGAAACAGGCAAAAATGGACAGGGCAAATTCAGAGAATAAATATGTTTAATAAATATATATAAGGATATTTAAGTTCACAAGCACGCAGAAAGTTCAAATTTAGATGGGACCCCTTTCATTCACCCATTAGATCAGAAAATGGAGACTGTCTGATGGTGGAAGGGGAGAGGGAAACGAATGCTGTCTTGGCCCATAGATTGGTGTTGAAATTGGCACCACTTCTTTGAGGACAATTAAAATGTTATATCAATATAGCCTTCACCCCAATTCCATTTCTAAACAACTATTCTGCATAAATACCTGCCCATGTTCCCAAAAATGCATGTGGTAGAATGTCTGTCGCAGCAATACATGTAACAAGAAAACTGGACACAATCTAAACATCCATTAATAGGAGGATTATTGCCCAGCCAGAAATAGGAAGTCATGGTTCAATTCCCAGTCATGGCACATGCCCGGGTTGGGGCATGCAAAAGGCAGCTGATCAATGGCTCTCTCATCACTGATGTTTCTGTCTCTCTCTCTAATCAACAAAAACATTTTTTAAAAATATGCCTGGACTTATTAAACATAAGCCTGGACTTATTAAACTGTAATACATCCATACTATGGAATATTATAGTGGAGTTTAAATGAATTGGGTAACCCTCTATGCACCAAGAAGGAAATAAATCTAAGATATATCATGAGGTGAAAGAACCAAATTGTAGGATGTTACCATATATGTTAAAAAACAAAGGTATGAAAATCACACAACAGACCTATTTCACTATCTGTAAATACGTATATAGGCAAATGTGTAAAAAAAGGTCTGGAAGAATATATAGTAAACAGAGTGGAAGTTACCTTAAGGGTTGGGGATGAGGGCACAGGTAGGGTTTCAATATACCTGTTATTTAATATTTATATATTAACAATAAAATTATGTATTACTTGTTAAAATGGAAAACAAGTTTAAATTGACTCTTATTTTAAAGAGGACCTACCAAATTTAATTTTTAAAATAAACACAAATTGCAATGAATACACGTTGATTTGGGATACGGAGGGGGAAATACCTTTTCTCAGAGCTACTGACCTCTAAATTCTGGACCAAGAAGGATCTTACAATGCAGTTAGTTTTTTTGAAATTCATTTTTGGAGAGAATATACTCACAGTCTCTCAACCAAATGGTATGACTTCCATGTATCTTTCCCAATGTAAGAAATAGAGTTTCCTTGCAAGTTTCTGTGAAGAAACACAGGAAATATCCTTGAATGGGTAGGAAAGAATGAACGGAATAAGTAGAACCACCATGGCAGCCCTGTGGGAAACACTCAAATGCAGAAAATACCAGCTTTCTAATGTCCATAGCCACCAGCTTCCCAGTCTGCACAATGAATAAAGACATAATAATGTGGGGCCACTGGCCCAGACACTGAGGCATCTCCTCAGAGCCTGGACTTCTTCTCTCGGACAGGTAATACCAGTTCATTACTTTGAATGCATTTTCCCCAGAATCACTTCTGTCTAAAATGACTCCTTCCACAAATCAATGAGAAAAGAACAATTCAACAGAAAAGTTGCAAAAGTATCGTTATCAGCACATAAATGTAAAGAAACCTTATGCCAGGCCACACCAAAGCTTCGGCTCGGTGCCCTCTGTGGAAATCTTTCCAGGAGTTAGAAGGAAAGGGGCAGCTAGAATATGGAAAGCCCTCAAGCATATTTGACAGGGAAAAGCACAAATCACTGAGTGAGGAGTAAAGTATTACCTCTTTAGAGGGAAAATGCAAAAAATACATATAAATAGGAAAGAAAAGAAGAGAGAGAGAGGTTGGAAGGAGAGACACACATCAAATGGTAGCAGGAGTGGTGGAAAGGGTTGGGTGGGATTTTCCGTTATCCTGTACACTTCTGTGACATTTACCAACAACGGCAACAGTGAGAATGTATCCATGAACTCCAGGTGTTTAAAAGCAGCTGGTAGGACCCTGAGGGTCATTTCAACCACTAACACTGTGCGTGGCTGAGCCTCTGTCTTCTTCCCTCAGCAACCACGCACCTGCTCCACTTGCACACACACTTTTCAGGAAGGTCAGGAAAAGTCAAACAGATACTTGTCTGCCCCTCTGCCTAGGGGACAGTTCCACTCAACCAGAAGCCTCTGGTTGCTTTATGCTCACCAATAAAAGATGCCCAAACAGAACTCATCTCCCTCAAACTGGCTCTCCTTCCCAGCGCCTGTGTCCACCTGTGATACCACCATCGTTCTCCTCCTCATCCAGGACAGAAACTGTCCAGGGTCATACCTGATCTTTCTCTTTCCTCTGCGTCCCACCCTCGCTCCAGTCAGTTACTAAACCTTGTCAGCTCTTCCTTTATAGTGGTCCCAGGAGGTTCTTCACTCCTATCATAACCACTCTATTCAGCACCTTCTCCCTTGACTCCTAGGTTTTGCTAGAGCATTCTATTTGGTCTCCCCGAGTCAGGCTTTCCTCTCCAGGTCGCTCTACCTATGGAATTTAAAATAATCCGCTTATTCTAATCATCTGTCTCTCTCACTTGAAAACTTTCAGTGGCTCTCCTTTCTCAGTGTAACTTCCAAATCCCTAGAGCTGACAGCCAGGGCTTTCATAACCATACTTTCCACTGCTTCCTAAACCCATTCTTTACAGCCACACTGATCTACTAAGTCCTGGTCATGCCTGCAGCCATGCCTTTGCCTAGGTTGTACTCTCTGTTCGTTCTCTATATGACAAACCACAGCCACCCTTTAAGCCCCAGCTAAAGTTCTAGCTTATCCATGGAGCTTTCCCTCACTCCCCATCCCAGGGACTACAGATTCTGCTGAATTTACAGCATCTCTCGTACTACTTAATTCTATGTCACCTCCTTTCTTATGCACATTCCCTTTCTTCCCACCTACCACTGTCATGTTCCATGGACAATGTCATACTTCTGTGGCACACACACTCCTTAGACCTGGGTTGGGCACAAAATGGGTGATGTATATAGAAAGCCAGGGGGCAAAGGTGACTTCTGGATATAACTGAGGGATCAAATAATAATAATAGCAAACACATACATGTTAGTCACTGATATAAGTACTTTATATATATTAACTCATCTCAAACTCACAACAACACTATGAGATGGTAACCACCATAATCTTCATTTTACAGATGAGGAAACTGAGCCCCAATGCTAATAAATGGCATACCTGGGTTCAAACCCAGTCGCTCTGGCTCTAGAATCTCTACTCTTAAGCACTTTGTTGTCTCACCACCAATGAGATGGGGAGAGGGCCATGTTGCAGGACAGCAGAGGTCAAGGAATGAAATGACGGGGCTAAAAATATGGACCAGGAAAAACAATACGGGCCGTTACAAGTAAAAGACTGGTGAAGGGGGTAACAATAGTGAGAAGGAGAATGATGCTAAGGAATAGTTGACGACAAAGAAAAAAACAGAACATCAGTCCATGTGGACTGGGGAAGATGAGGAAGCCCAGACGACCTCAAGGAAAAGGCTGTCCCGTCAGGCAGGATGCAGAGAACAAATGAGGAAAGGCAATTCTTACAAGACGGTGAAGGAGCCACTGTGGTTGATGGACTCTGGCAGAGGCACTTTCTGGAGCTTCTTGTTTGGGTCGAGACCAGTACATGACAGCGTCCCATTATTGCAGGTACAGAGCTCACATATGTTCATGGAGGTATTCTGTTCAGTCATTGGAGGAACTGTCTCAGATGGTTCTTGTGGCTCAGCTTTGAGATCTCCCAGGCCCAAATTTAGAAGTGTGGGTACAGATGAGGTTGTCTGCAGAGTACTTGTAGTCTGCTGCTGGGCTCCAGTACTACTGGAATTTAGAGAAACAGATGAGACCTTCTTGGTAGCTGTAGATGATACAATCTTCTTAGGGGACCCTGAAGTTACCAAATATCCCAGATCCACATAGTTAACATTGATAGGCAACACTGGATGCTGAGCGTCACCCAAACCTAGTGATGAAACTGTCTCCTCATGATGTACTGAAGGTTGAGTTTCAACATCTACAGAGGATGTTAGAGGCTGACCTGGACCCTGCTGCTGGTCTGGAGAAGTTTGTATGGCGACAAGGTACACGTGCGGCGGAGCTGAGCTCTTCTGCTGGAGTGAATATGGTTCCTGTGCAATGTAGGGCACCTGCTTATCTGGAAATCCCTGGTGGACTAACAAGAATTTCACTGGCTCAAAGGACACTGTAGACTGAGCTGAGGCCTCTTGTTGGAGTGGAAGCAGAGCTGAAGCTTCAGGAGGTTGTGGAGAAGTTACCTCAGGGGCCTCTGCAGGTAGAGCTGAGGCTTCATGGCTGAGTGAAGGAAGTTCAAGCTTTGCAGGATTTTCCTGATTCCAAGACCAGGGCTCGGTGGGCCCCAAGGGGATGGAGGTCACCAGGACAGAGTGCAGGGCCAACTCTGGAGGGTGAGCTGCCTGGACCTGCAGCCACAACAGCTTCCACATGAACAGGAGCCCTGGGGCCCACATGTGCAGCCCGGACATGAGAGGCAGAAGTCCGGGGCACAGCGGCTAGCCACCAGGTGAGTGGGGCACAGGGAGGGACCCAGACAAGTAGGGCACAGAGAGCCACCCAGACAAGTGGGGTACTGGCACCATGTGCTGAGCAGGATCCCAACAATTGGCAGCCATGTCACAATTGGCAGCCATGTCACAATTGGCAGCTGTGTCATGCATGCGCCCCTTAGCAACCAAGCATCCCTCCCCCGCCTCAGGTTCCAACCTTTATTTAGGCAACCTTTATTAGTCTTGGGCTCAGAATGACTGCAGAAGAGAGAGCCTTTTTCCTGGAATCACCAGGGACCAAGTGGTCCTTTTCCCCTGCAGAAAAGACAACTACCTTCCTCTGGGTCTCCTCTCCCCTCCTCACAATGAGGCAGGATTGGGCTATACACCTGGGTGGCCCCAGAGTCCAGTAGCCCAGGGATGGTGGGGTAGGGGTGTGTTAAAGAAGGTGGAGAGTTGGGGGGTGCTTCAGAGCTTCCCAAGGAAGCCACAAGGCCTGGCATCCCAGGAAATTCAGAGGGCTAGTTCAGTTCTGGCAACCTGAGTTCCTCCCCAAAGCTGAAATCTGAGAGACATTCTTCCTCCCCCTGGCCATACTGCTCCCAAGAAAAGTAGCTGACATACAAAATACACCAGTTAAGGCGGCGGGGAGGGGGATACCACTTTACAGTTCTACTTGCTCAAAATTCTCAGTATCCATGACTGATTCTTTGTTGTTTTGTTTTTATTCTCACCCAAGGTTATGTTAATTGATTTTAGAGAGAGAGGAAGGTGGGGGAAGAGAG